CTCCCTGAAATTACAAAGTATGTTTTTATATTCGTGGAAAGAAAAGCCCAGGACAGTTATCTTCTCACAGAAAGGCTACATATGCATCCTAAACAATGAAAGCTGTAGCATAGTTCTGACAACCAAACTGGCCTCCTGCCCCAATCTTTGGAAATAATCTGCAGAAAAGGGCAATTTAAGCAGGTGGATACATGCCCCTTGCAAAGCCTCCTCCAAACAACCCCTCTATGCCCAATCTTAGAAAAGAGACAAAGCAGTTGTCTCTTGGGATGGCACATCCTTCTCTCCAGCTTTCCTCCCAGCTTTCCCCTTGCTCAGAGACATTTCTTAGGCTCCAGAGCTCAGTGGACATGGGGCATGGCGCCTCCCATTCTCTGGGGAACTGGAAGACCTTGCTGAGAAATCTCCCTCTGTTTCCCTTATGGATTCAGCCCTGGACCTGTTCTCAACCACCACCAACAGAAGCTCAGTCATGCCAGACAATTACTGCTTCCTGCTATAGTCTCAAATACCCCTAAAATCAAGGTAGTCCACAGTGTATCTCATCTTTCAGGACAAAGCAGCCACAGATTTAGCCCTGCAGTGCTAGTATTTTGAAATGCAAATTCAATAACTACCTATGCAAAAGCTGCCCATGAATATATTTAGGAGTTCCATTTGGGCTGCCTGGAAACGTGGGGTTTACAGGATTAAAAAGACATACTGCTATCACTCCAATGAATGCCCTTTAATTTTTGAGAATTCATTTTAGAATAAAAAATTTAAGATCTGGTTTATTCCTTGTCAGTCAAACATCCTAGCTTTTCATTATCCCATTTTTTTTTTTTTCAGTGCATGTAGGTAGTTCTCATCATAAAGATCCCCTGATAAAGTTCTCCTCCAGAGACATACTCTTTTTGTAGGCTCAGCTAGTGAAGAAATATCATTCATTTGTAATACTCAAAGAGAAGTTGAAAAAAAAAATCAAAAGCAGCTGAAAAGAGATTGTATTTCACTAATATACACCAAGGCTTTATTTAAAATATACAGTGTTAAATTTGATCAAATATCAACCCACCATTCAGAGTTAAATAATCTCTTTTAATTTGCATGTATCTGTGCGTGCCAAAGAGAAGTGTGTTTGCTTTCAAGCAGGTGCACATCCTGCTATGACTAAATCTCTAACTCATCAAATTGCTTTACCAGTGTGGGACATGCCCTTTTTCTGGAACAGCTTCAAGTATTTTCCCCAGCATTTCAGCCACCTGTTTACCGAGTTCATACTCCAAAGGAGATGCATGCAATTAGAAACAAGGAAATGAAAATAAATGACCTTGTTTGTTATAAATAACAAAGAGACTCAGCAAAATTAATGCAGTGAAGCCTGACCTTCTGACCTGAAAGAAAGAATCACCTCATTCCTTTGTAGCAGGCTCACAATGCTCCAGGACCAGGCATTGTTGTGCAGCTTTGCCTCTTTTGATGGATCTTAAAGGAGTATATTCTAAATATTAAATGTTTTACAAGTTAGATTAGGAAATTTGCATTAAAAAGAATGTTGAAACAAAGTCAAGAGAGCAATGATAAAGATTATTGCTGCTTTATTTAGAGAATTCAGGTAAGCTGTGTGTATGGCAGTTCACTATAATACAGTTTTTCAGTTGAAAAATAAATATGGCATTCCAGGTGCTAAAAAGCCACGAAATGTCTCCTTCGGTGTTCAGTAAATTGATGAGGGAAAAAGTTTTTAATTAGCTAACTCCAGGAAAGGGAAACATTTTTCTTTTGTTAATTGTTTGTGCTATGATGATCTGACTTTTGAAAAAAAAGCAAAGTATTTCCACAACTACTGCCAAAAATATATACTTTTATTCTCACCCCTTAATTAGGGAAGCAGAAATGCTTTCTTTTATATGAAGCTTAATGAATAATGTTTCTATGGGTTACATTTTCACTTTTAATTGATTCATGTCAGTCTGGAACTGTGTCCAGCTGTAACAGAGGGCAAGGTGTTAGAAATTTGTTTCCTTGCTTGTCTTTGGAGAAAATGAGAACACAGCGTTGTTTTCATGGCAGTCCTCACAAAAAGAGCAGTGTGTAATTACAGTGCTGGTTCCCATCTTGTCAGTCTCCCAAACAAGTCTGTTATTAATGAAGCAGCTCAGAACCGTTGCAGAAATGGAAGGAAAATGCGTTTGCATCTCACTGAAAGCAGTTCCCACAACAGGTATTGTTAGATAAAGATGCTTCTAAAACTTTTTTTGTGGGTTTTCTTCCCCTTCTCTCGCTTTCAATGACATCCATCCAGCTGCTGAGGTGCAGCAGTGCCCTTCACAGCAATCACAGTGCACTGATGGCAGTGGGGATGGGGCAGCTCCCTGCAGTGCCCAGGGTGATGGGCACAGCCCAGGGACTCAGACAGCCACCAGGGCAGGGCCACAGGAGGCATGGCAGTCACAGAGAGGCACTGAGAAATCAGTCTCACACACAGGACAGCCAGAGCAGCAAAAGTCACCTCATGCAGGACCACGACCAGGATCAGGAGCATAAGGGGGCAGTGAGCCTTCTCCTCCCCACCCCTCACCCTTCTTCCATCATTCTGCATCCAATGGAGCCATTCCAGCCCCTTAAGCTCTTGGCATGCCTCACTCCTGCTCCCAAACTTTTACAGTAAAAGTGACCTGAATGAATCATTTCCAGCAGAAAAAGAGCTGATCAACACAGCCTCTCCTTCTGCTCATGTAGTCTCATGAGCAGCTTGTGCTTCTGTCCAAATGTGTGCACCATTAGAAGCTAAATACTCCACATGGCTGAAGGTAGGGTTGTGTTGAAGTGTTTGATTGAATCAGAGACCTTTGGGGTACTGTCTTCTCAATCACTCTTCATTTGTCCACACAGATGGAAACCAGAGCACCCACGTGTCTAAACACGGAGCTGTGAGGCCCTGTGTGACAGGCCCCATCTGAGAAAAGCTGCATGACAAACAGGTTCTGAGAGCTGAGCCCGACAGCAGAAACTCTGCTTTTGTGGAGCACGAAGTCACAAGCTCTATCCTGCTCTGGGGCTCCACATGGTCCAACAAATACCCAGGTTGGAGAGGGGCTGTGGATCTGTGCTGATCCACCTCTGTATGGTGTGCAAGGGTTGGAAAAGCAGAACTGGGGATCCATTAACAGGGCTCATGTTTAAAGCATGACTTACACACAGACTTACACTGCCTTCTTCAGCTGATCACCTTTACTTTTACTGCAAACTGTGCAAGCACCAAAACCATGCTAACGTGCAGTTCCAACATGCACCTTGCAATAGTCCTTGCAATACCTGGGTGAGACAGACCTCACTGCTGGGAGGAGTGGTCTTTTCTGCAATGACAACCTAAACCAAATACTAAGACAGACAAAGAACACAGCAGTGTTACATCCAAAAATCAATGCTAGAGATATGCAAATAAAAACAGCACTTCAAAAGGCTTGAAATGAGTACCATCCAAAATAAGTGATATTGTAAATTTGGTTTAAAAAGCAATTTTCAGGAGCATTAGTTTACATGAAGCACATGCATAACTGGCTTTGAAATTCAGCTGAAGTCAAGTCTCCCTGGAAAGCAAGTGGTATAGTTGTACTCCTTGGCTTTTTCACCAATTCAGGAAGGGTAGCTACCCACACTGGAGCAGGACAGCATATATTTTTTTCCAAGAATACAGGAGACACATGCTGACCAAGAAAATAGTTGTGAAGAACAGAGTTCCTACACAAAAACCAGGGCTCACCGGACTGCAGCTCTTGCAATTCACAATTAAAGGCACCACATGGTCAAAGTTATTGGCACTGGCACTGGGGAAAACCTCAGAATTAACAAAAGTTTCCTTCTCTCTTCCTCTGGTAGCTATCTGAGGAGAGAGGAAGCAATACCACAGACAGCTTGAGGGGACAAAGAGAGTGTCAGGGCCAGTATCCCTGTCTCAGCATGACAGCCCTTACTGGCCATGGCTCTGTGAGCTACTGCTGAGCACATAATGATTTTGCACTGAAAGGCTAAACCAGCCATTGCTCTGGACTGAACAACCACAACTCTAACTCATTCCTTCATTAAATGCTTTGCCATTCCTTGAGAATGAGAGGGTCTATAGAAAAATCACATTATCCTGTATTCCACTGGTAAACAATATCTTATATATATTAAACTGTTCTATAGCAGTCATCTGTTCTTTCCAAGCTGTGACAGGACTTTGAATTATTTGCTCTATCAGCAACTGCTGCAGTAAATTCCCCAGTTATGCTGTGCATGGCAGGCTTGAGGAAACACGCGTGACAATGAAGCGAGCAGAGAACTCATACATGACGGAATCCACTCAGCAGACTGGTTTTTGGGGACAGTTGGGCCTCAACAAACAATCCTTTCTTCTGAGTCTATAGAGGAGCTGCACTGAGGCCTGCTTTGGCCATTAGTCTAAGGAAAGCCTTTGTTGAACATATAGCTGCTTCTCACATTGAAAGAATAAATCACATTCTTATTCTGGGTATGTCTCCACTGCATTCACTGATGTGAATGTTGTTCCATGGCTGAAAAACTGAGTAAACAGCGTGCCCTGTGCAGCTCTGAGCTGCTGTGGCTACATTACTGCCTGAACAACCTCATTTACAGCCAGCCTGGATGTGTCTGTAAGAGCAGCAGCCCTGGCAGAGATCTGTTCTTCAGACAGCATACCCCCTCTTTGCAGGAATATTTCATTCTTCAGGCTGGATTACCAGGATTTGAACAACTTTGGAACCCACTTTTCCTGAGAAGGAGAAGGGAAAATCCTATCTCTTCTATGTGCCTAGGGAAGAAAAGCACAAACTAGCCAAGTTTCAGGAATGGTTCTGAATCTATAGGGGCTTTTTAGTGTTATGCAGATATATGTTAATTTCTCAGGCACACATCCTAGAAGTACATATATAGTGCATGTTCCCCTTCTAATACCTAAAATCCAGAGTAATTAATGTTCCTAATTGCTTCAATGTACAGCAATTCAATATTCATTCACCTTCACAACCATACGCTGCTCTCCACCCTTCAATGTGCTTCATCTTTGACTCTTACTTACTTTTATGCCCATGTTCATATCCTCAAACGAAAAGGGAAGCTCCAGGTTTCAGCAGACCATAGGAACCTCTGCTGACAGCTTCTACAGAGGAGATCATTGCTGGGTGAATAGCCATGGTCTGCATCATACCTGAGCCTCAGTTATTGCAGATTAAGTTTTCCATTTGACAGAGTGACTCTGATGATCCATCATCACTCTGGTGGAAAGGCTCCCATTTCCAGGCAGGATGTTACAGCTTCACCTCAGCCTTTGATGGACTCCTAATATAACAAAATATAGCACTTGTTAGTCCATGTACAGACAGAATTCTGCATTTTTACATTTGAACAGGAGTTTATTTGTCTCTGGCAAAAAAATTCTTGTGTCCTTTCTATCCCGCATTTCAGTTAGCGCTTTTCCATGGAGTGTTGTGTTACACAAGAGGGGAGCTCCTGGTTAAACAGGGAGGCTCTTGGGAAGCATCAATCCCTGAAGGGCCCACACAATTTTACTTCAGAACTACAGAATGAAAATTTCTGGGTTATGATACCATATATATAAAAAAAAATAAATGTGTGTGTGTGATGTGTGCATTTGCGTACTTTTCTTCACAGATATAAATTTAAATTATTTAAAAAAAAGATAAATACAAACCCAACCAAACCCAAAAATCAAGTAACTCCTCTGATGTCTGCTGTACTTGTTTTCAAACAGGATAAATGGTAGGCAAAGAAGTCTATCTAGTAAAGTAGCATTTACTCCCTCTTTTAACACAAAATTTACATGTGCTGTTGGGGAATCACTGCAGGAAAATTTCCAATAACAGGAGATATAACCACCTCTAAATTAAAATTTCTATTTTGAAGGTTTTCGACCTTCTTTTATTAGTTATTGCAATAGAGCTGCCTTGCAAAAAGGTTATGTGTAATTTTTTGCAAAGAAAAGAGCTCATTGTAAATGCTAATGTTAAATGTCTGTGTTTTTAAAACCTTAGATACACTAACCCTTTAAGTTATTTTTTCAATTGTTTCTTCCTCTTGCTGCCATTAGTTAAATATTCTATACATGCAATTGCTCCCAATTTGTGTAAGGAATTACAAATAAATACAGTGGCCATTGATTTCTCTTAGTTCATCTCCTTTGTTCTTGCATCTCAAAAGAGTTCAACTAACCTGGCAGCATTTATCCTGCCTATTCCCTTCAGAATTATCTCTGACTCAATGAGATGACCTCCTAATTTCCTCTGTTCTATAGACCTGCTTTCTCTAACTTTAACAAATAACTAAGGTCTCTCTGCCCTTGTACCACACTAGCATTGGTTTTGAACCTTTTCTAATTGTACAATAACTTTTTTAAAATATAATTAAAACTGGTCTTTTGAGCATTAAGATGTTACTGTCATGCCCCACCCATGTCAGGCTACATGAAGCCTCTGTATTTGCATTTCATACCTTAATGAACTGATTCATTTTGCTGTTTCCCCACCCCACCTTTTTTTTTTGTTGTTTTTTGTTTTTTTTTGTTTGTTTGTTTTGCTGCTGAGAAGTCTTTAGTCTTACTGCTCTCCATTGGTCTGGGCTATCTTTGAAAGCATATTATACATTCTTTACCTGATTGCAAGTTTTTAGTATTCTCCCATTCTCCTATCTACCTCATGGTCTTTCCTATTCTCCTAAGTACAGCTCATTGTGTTTAAATAGCCTGACTCAAACAGAGTGAGGATGTGGCCTCTCACCACTGCTCCTCCACATCAACCTCACCTTGGTCTCATCTTGGTGCCCTTCTCCCTACTGCAAACTTGAAAAAGTCCACAAAACACAAGGATAATGGAAGCTGCTGTGTACAAAACTATTTTCTTGTAACCACAGACTATCCAAACTGTAGGTCATGACTTAAAATCTTCCAAGAACTCACCGTCCAGGACTACAATTCAAGGCTTCAGGCATTTCCAGCCAGGCACTATTTCTGATAACATTGTCAGCATGTTCATGTCTCCTCCTGAATGTTTCAACTTCTCCCAGGATTCTGGGTTGATTTTTAAAGTGCTATTTTTTTTCAGTATTCAGAGTCCATATCAACTCCTTTTTCTGTTTCAGTGTCTCTCCTTTGTATTATCTTTATCTTCATTGAGAAAACTGACTCAAAGAATTTAACATCTGAAAAACATATTTTTCTCAACCAAAGGTAGGTTACCTTTGCAATGTCTCAAACTCAGCTGCATTCTCCAGTGACCTCATTTCTTGTGTAGTCAGAAAATCCCTTATTTATCTTAGCCTTCACACAGACTTCTTTTATTTTCTTCCTTTTACTTACACTTCCCCCTTTGTTCTGTAATCTTTCAATCTTCCCCACCTGCTTTATCTTATAGATGATTGATATATGCATTTCAACAGTCTCAACTGCTATTTTATTTATCCCAAATAAATATCCACACTGGATGGCAGGTAGAATTCTCTAGTTACAAAACTTCAGCTTTGAAAATCTCCTATTTTATTTTCCATCCATACCCTTCCATGATCCCCTCATGCTTTTCAGAGCTTTTCTTTCTTCTTGAACTTTTCTATCTCATTATAAACCTAGCTCAGTTAAAACACCTCATACCAAAATATTCTCCCATTCTTACATCTCTAGTCATGCTAAATTTATTATGCACACCTATGAAAAGGGCTGTTCCCTTTTTAGTCCAACCTTTTAAATTGTGCAAAGAAGCAATATTATAGCATTTCAATCTGTGATTTGAGTTACACACTCAGCCTGATTTAAAGCTAGATGGAGGGGCAATTCAGGCATGTTGTGTGTTTAAAGGTGTGAAATAAAAAGAAATCTATAATGTTACCCTCAGGATTTCAGGCAATGATATCCCAAGTCTGAAAGAGAGGGAATAAAGAAACTGAAAAAGGATACACACCACTGACCAATCAATTGAAAAATACAGTAAATGGAAAACAGAAGTCTCCCTGGATTTGCCTTATGGGCTGACAGCAATGGCTTTGTATAAAAAGACAGAGCACTTATGATCCACTTTCTACTTGAGACATTATAAATTAGTTTTTCTGAAGGCATAATCCACCGTAACAGATTCTAAGGTGGTGTGGAAAAATCCCACCACTCCTTGATACGAACACTAAATGATGCCCTGTCTGTCGTGGATCCCGTGTCTCTTTGCTCAGGCAAAGCCTGTCTCTGGAAAACTCAAAAGTTATTGAAATGCACCAACCTTTATTGCAAAACTGAGCACACTGAGGATGACTGCAACCTTTATTAAGACTCAGAGGACTTTGGTTAGGCCTCACAGTAGACAAGTTACAAAAGGCTTCTGTCTTTGTGCTACTAAGTGCAGGAAAGAAACCTCCTAGAGGCTCTGAATGAAGCTGAGAGGAGCTGCCCTACACCCTTTTTCCAGCAGGGATCTGCAGTCCCTGCTCCTTCCCAACACACGGAGCCTCACCACGGGCAGCCAGCTCCATCTCCTTCCATGCACACAGAGTCCACCTCATTACTTCTGGACCCCAAACAGATCTTGGCGACCTATTCAGTGAAAACTCAGATGTAAGAGAGAAACTATCTGGGGCCAGATTCCCCAAGGTGCTGTTACATGGCTGGAAAGCCACAGAAATACCAAAACAATAAAAGTGGAAGCACGTAGTGTCAGACCACAGTGATAGACAGAGAGAACCTCTCAGAGGATCACTGGTTTTAGAGCTGGGTGGTGATGCAGCGAGCACTCTCTGACACCTTTTTAAATATCTGTAATGCCATTCATTTCTCCTGTACTTCTAATTTTCTCTCAGCTCCAGAAGTATTATAGTGGCATCTCTCCTAATATATTAGGCTTTATAATGATGTTAAAGAATTGTCAGCAAAAGGAAATGGAATTACACACTAGAAGAGAAAAAAGGACATCAAGCCTGCCAGTCAGGCTTCCTATCTCCTTCAAAAACTTCCTCTGGAAACATGGTGGAGAACAAAAGATGTCTGTGCAGGCAACCTGGGCCACTCCACACTCATTAACACTGCTCTCCAGTGAGCAGCACAGTTAAACTCATCATGACTTCTCTAAAATACTTATCATGATTATTTTCAGTAGGATTCCCTGCATAAGGAAGACTTTGCAAGCTCAGTTCTAAAAGACAGTAAGTGAAATACTCTACAGCACTTTTCTCAAACAAGTTGAACTTATTTTACAAACCCACAACTCACCTTTCTAGTACAGAGACACTTCAGGCAAATATTAAATGAGGTGACTCAAATATTTACGTAAGCAAAACCACTCTTATTTTGTCAGAAAACAAATAAAGTTAAAGTTGGCAGAGTTTTATAAGCCATCACACCTCACTTTGTTTTTCTACTCCATTTTCATGGCCCAAACTTGAAAGGCAAGGTAACCTTGGTGACTGCTGAGGTGGCACACAAGTGCTCAGGACTGTCCACCACCCTCAGGACTTCATCAGGTCAGGACATGGAGACACCACCTCCTCTGCAGGGATTGTGGGCAATAGGAAGTAATGCATTAAAACTGCATGGTGGGCATGTGATTCGGATAAAGAAAGGATCAAACAGAACCCCAGCCTTTCCTCTCATTCTTGCAGAACATGAAAAAAAAAGCTTTGTTTCCTAAGTTCAATATATATAAAAATGTAATGAGGTAGCTTCTGTTTATATTACAGGCATTGAAAAGTCCTACCTCAGCTTCTCAGTCACATCATTGTTTTGCTAGTGGGGTTCTCAGAAGGTGGAAAGAGACAATGGAAAGATAAAATCTAATGGACAGGATAAACACCTTCCTTGGAAATAATGCAAAAATTATACAGGGACAATAAAAAACCTACTTAGTTTTAACGAAAGATTTATTTCAGGATAAATCAAGCTTCACTGAAACGCTTAGCTTAGCTATTTTAGCTATTTTTGTGTACAACTTCAGTGGTATAACTTGATAGGGAAGACATTGACTGGAGACTAGAAGGAAATAGCTCTGTTCCAAAATGAGGCATGCAAAGGTTGTATGCATGTTTGGTGGATAGTGCCCTAATTCATTACAGAATGGGATTCATATACTTACACAGTGAAAAGCTTGGATTAGGCACACAACATAATTTCCATTATGTTAATGTTGCTTTAAAATATATTGCACAGAGTGCTGCAACAATCAAATTATCAATTATAATGTCTACTCAGAGTAGAAAAGTGTTGCAAACAGAGGGCTGATTACTGCTTCAGTACTTCCAATCTGCATACTCATTGTTTAGTACAGGGAAAACAAATTATCTTGTGTTGGCCCTGGTTCAAATTTAATTAAATGAGTGCAAAGCAATTATAATAAAGTACAATAGTATAGTAATGAAAGGAAAATAACTCATTAACCTATTAATCTTTATTTATGTTCCTCTCAAATAAGTATGTAATTTCTTTATCACTGCATCCCATAAGAAATAGCAGCTCTCACTGCTCATGGCCTGCTTTAGTGGGGCTTATTTTGCTAAAGATCATTGTATGACTTCACTGTTACTATTTATATAGATTTTATTTAATGTGTCTGATTTTTCTCCTCTTCCTTACACAGTGTATTTTAAAATCCTTTCCCACATATCTGTGATGTAGATTATAAACCTGTTCGCACCCCCCATTTTCTTTTAACACTTGTCAGCTCTGAAAGGTAAACCTCTCTAGGAGCATCGCTATGCTTCTGTCATTGCAGGAGGGAGGGAGCACTCCCAGAACATCTGCTCCAAAAGAAGCTCTTACATTAAGACATAAGATGAAAGCATATTATTTTTCAAAGGACCTGACACAACTATTGCTTTACAATCTTTATGGGTATAACAGCATACCACATATTTTCAAATGTAGTTTTTTGATTCCTCATTCTGACTTTTATCTAGGCTGCTGGATTGTTTTGTGACTCTGACAAATCTCAAGTTTTAGGAAAACCAATATTTTTAGATGATTAGTCAAATATTAAACTGTGGTGTACTTTAATTGTTCGTGCTGTATGCTAGCTGTCACTATTACCTTATCTCTCCAGAACTGGTTTTGTTTTCAACGATGTCTTACATTCTAGTGTGTACATTTAATGTCACACACCAGTGCTTAGCTTATTGCAGCCAGTCAGAGCTGACTCTCTCCTTTCCCTAAGCTGTGCCACTAACAAAAAAAAAAAGAGAAAAAAAAGACAAAGCACTGCACCAGACCATCACCAAAACTATGCCATAAAGAAGCAGCAAGATTATGAGCAAAAATACATTTCAAAATTTTTTACTAAATAGCAGTTTTGATGATTTTTGACTGAGGAAATGAACAACATTGATTTATTTCTTTTTTCTACTACATGAAATGAAGTAGAGGTGGTACTGTACCATAAGCAGTGACTGAATACTATCCTGGAGAGTGGGACAATTGGTATCTGCTATATAAACTAGAAGAAAAATCAAATTAGAAAAACCACAGATTTACAATACAGTTGCCACTTCTGCTTAGTTGGGTTTAATCACTGGCACTTACTGAAGAACAGAGGTACCTGTAGGAAATATTTATTCAACAGAAATACAATTCTGAATATGCATAAAGGATGAATGAAGGCTGCTTTTGAAAACTTGGAAACAAAACTTTCACAACAGAGTTTACAGTGTCACATGTCCTGAGGCTTCTTCCTTTCCATGCATGGACCCTGTGCAGGCAGGACCCAATCTTACTGCCTTATAGGATTCAAGCAGAATAGCTTCCAAAAAGTTATTAACAGATTCTCTGAGAGGATTGTAGAGGTGCAAATTTACAGCTCAGATGGCTGAGAAACATACAAGTTCACCATATCTTTCCTCTTCACACATAGAAAAAACTTCTGCCTTGCAGAGTGTATTTCTGGTTTCACAATCTGCTGCTGAGAACTCTGTTAGCAAGAAATGGAACTCTTTAATCATAATGACACTTAATGAGTCACTCTATTCTTTGCACATTTTTAACACTCAGTTCTTTATTTCACACTTACTGCTCAATTCTTGCTTTTATATTATTGCAGCACTAGTACTGCATTAATACAAGCAGGCACAGAGCTGTGTGTAGTCCTGTGTGGCATGGGACAACTGGCATTGTTCTGGTGACATTGCCACTGACCTGCTGGAGAGCAATCAAGAAGTGCAGAGGCATCACCAATAGATGGCACATTCGCATTTTGCAGAGTATAATGCCATCATTCTTTTTGTTTGTTTTTGTTTGTTTGTTTGCTTTGACAATGAATCATGTTTTAATTACAGTATTTCAACATGTGAAGTAACTAAATCATTAAAAGAGGAAGAAAGACAAATAAATAAATTTTGCTATGTACAACCATCAGAATCTCATATGAATTGTCGTCTTTTTCTGTCCAGAGTTAAATACTTGTCATCAGGCTAAATCAATGTTTATTCTCTGTGTACCAACCACTAGAGGGGAGTTTGACACTCACATTGCAAGTTCACAACAATATGCTAAATTGCAGGGAAATGTAGATCAGAAATCTGCAGTAATTAAAAAAGACCATCCTGCCAAACTCACGACTTCTCACCATCTTTCCAGATTACTGAGTGAGATGATTTCTATCTGACTTAATAAAAGTCTAAATCCTGCTGCCAGTTGAGCTTTGTCCGGCTTCCTGATACATAAAATGAAGCAATGAAGCTGCAGTGAGCCGAGGAAGAGAATATGAAGCGTGCTCAATAATGGAGACAAATATAAAATAGAATTGCCTGAGATGAGACTAGACTTCACAGTCACTGGACTTTTTGAGCCCTAGGACAGTTACACAAGGAAAGACTCTTCCCGTCTTACTCCTTCCTGCAAATCACTGGCTAAGTGTGATATTTGGTGAAAATATACAGTATATACAACTTGAAAATATACAGTACAGCTTGAAAATATACAACTTGAAAATATACAATGATGTCTTCTGTGTGCACCCAGACCATATGGCCAACTGCCCTTGATGTTTACTCTTGTGTGTTATTTAAGTGAACTGGTGCTGTGGGTGCAGTGCACACCATCCATGAAATTTTCCCTTAGTGCAAACACACAGTTTCACTCAAGTCAACTTAGACCTGTAAAAGATTTGGCCATACCCATATAACCATAAAGATACCTGCCAGGACATCAGAGATGTTTCAGAATGCTTGGTGGGGGTGAGAATTAGGACACAGCTCCCCTAGTGCCAGGGCACAGGGAGCTACAACTGATGCATGATGACCACTCCAGTCTGGTCCTTTGTACACCCACCTCTTTAGCCAGAGGGAATACTTTAAATCTAATTGATTTAACCTATGAATCATATGCAATCTCATCATAACACAAGCTCTTGTACCACAGCACCATACACAATTCCTGTAGTAAATAAAACCACAGTCCTGGATTCTGCAACTTCTTAAAACTGTAGTTTGCATGAGTGTGGATATTTTCAGGTGCAAGCACATACCTGTCAGAAGCAGAAAAAAATATATATAACATAACTTTTCCATAACTGAGTCTAAATGTACTTCTACTGATCTTCAGAATACTGGAAGAATGCAGATTCAAAATAATGAAAAAGATAATCTATCTTCTAGAAGAAAGAAGTGAATGCACTGCACATAGCTTGTCACAAGGAATGTATTTAATCCATGCTCTTATTTATAGCATCGAAATGTTTTTGACATAGCAAGGAGAGTAAAAAGTCAACAAACATGAGACAAAGACTGAACAAAACTGTACTCAAATTAACTCAAACAGTACTTAAAGGGACATCAATAATGTAAGAATATATAAAGCATACATTTAAAAGTTAAAGATGTTGTTTATTAAAATTACACTCCTGGTGTGCACCATAACACCCCATTCACCCGATTTACTCTAACACCTATCAGTGTAAATCAGTGGGTTTTTCCATTGACAAAAATTACATTTCTGTGGCATACAACTGATGCAAGTGGAGAATTTGACCCTATATCTGCAAACCTTCCATTAAATAAGTAATTAATAAGTGTAAATAAGTAATAATAAGTGTACACAGGTGTTGTTTTTCCCTGGTAATTGATGTGCAAGTCTAACCATTTCTAAAGCTCGGCCATTTGCTTGACAGACAAGAATTTATTTTCCTCAGTAATGAGCACAATTTTGTATGGATGGGCTTTTTTTCCTCCCCAAAGTAGAAAGACCATCTAGATTTCAGCATTTAATCTTCCTCATGACAAAATCTCAAATGGCCCTTAAAGATCTTCTGCAACTCCAGTGAGTTTATGCAAGACACTGTAACTAGTCCAACTGGAAGGCATCACCTTGGGCTCTAATACATACCTGCCTGTAGGTCTGGAAATGTACTGAGAGTTACTGGAGACTGCTGCCTTCACCATTCACGCTGGAAAGCTTCCAGGAATCCATAGGTAGTTCAAGGCAAAATGACCAAAAGGTATTTCTTCACGTTTTCAACTTAATGACAATATTTTCCACAACAGCTCTCGTTCCATGGGGGACAGGACCAACCTTATAGAAGTGATCTGTAGCTCTTGCAGCAGAGAATCAGTACTTCTGTCCCTCATAAGAATTATTCTTCAGAGATTAATTCCCAACATGAAAGTTAGGCATGTCTAGTTAAAAATGAGATTTCAAGATCAGTGAAAGGATCATGAAAGGACTCTAAGTTTCCACTGTAACATTTAAAATGATCCCAAAGACTTTAAATTATCCTAAAATACTCCACAAAAATAGTTAGAGCAGCTTGTCAATGCTTTCAGAAATACACTGCAAACCCTGCATCTGGAATAGCCCCTAAGTTTTATTCTGTTCAATATTCTACATATCAAAGATTATACACGTGACAATAGGATGAACATGGACATCAAGACCTAAACTTACAAGGAGTGGTTAGAATTTGCCAGCCTCACCAAATAAGTAGCTCTGGAAAAAAATTCCTAAAGTCACTATTTACAAAGTGTGATTCCTCTGTTTAATGGTGACAGAGAATTCAGTATGTAGTCCAGATGGTTGGTCACACAGATAACAAATCCAGCATGGCTTTTTGGTGCTATGGGCAGGCCGTCTGACTGACTCACACTGTGACAGACAGATAGATTGATAGACAGACAAACAAAGACTTTCTCTTTTTCAGAGTGTTTTGTTGATAATACACATACTTTAAAAAAATCCAGCTATGCATAGACCTCACTCAGTTACAGAACTACTACAGAAGAGACAGGAAAACATCAGCAGAGTTTCATTTTAAGTTTACAAGTTCAGATGTTTCTGTTGTCCCCTTAGGAAAGAAAAGGGCAAAGACTGAGTTTGAAAACCTATTCAATAATAGATCTTAAGCTCTTAGCTAGAGCAGGACAATTCTGGGCCAGCACAGTGATTCCCCAACAGCTGGTATACACACTTTGTAGTACTACAAGCTTTTGGCAGAGAAACTCAACTAACACTGGATTCTATTCCCAGTGCTGTCTTTCCCCAACTTTTAACCCAGGGCAATTTAGCTAACTTCTGTCTGTTCCTGGTTAGCCATCTGGTAAATAGATAATATAATTGCATCCTTTATAGGCTTATTGTGGGACTTAATTATTTAAAGTCTTTAAGATAAGTCAAGGTTCTTGGTGAAGACTTGTGCAAAGCATTAATAAATAATAATGGTGGCAGCACTAAGAGGAGGGAAAGCTTAAAGCTGAATTGTTGCATAAGAGAAATGTGCCCAGCTGAGGCAAGAGAAATATAGACAAGTGATTAGTTGACATGATGTGAAAAGGAAGGCAGCAAAATCACTCAGCTAATTGCACTATAAATTGTAGAGAAGGAAAATAGGCTAAGTTGAAATGACAAAAAAGTCAAAAACACTTGGACAAATGGGAAAGGACAGACCTGGCAGAAGAGAGTAAGTTACGTGTCACTGGAGAGGTGTCAAGACTGGACTGAGCCAGGAAGCTTAAACTGACTGGAAGGAGAACTTCTCTGTGCTTTACAATTCATGTTTTGTTCTGTTCCAGTTCTCTCATTTCTTTAGCGCGTGGCTTTCACAGATTGTCCTAATGGATGGCACTGCCAGGGGGCACTTGCCCTGCTCTGCCTCATCCGAAGTGGGCGGCTCCTCAGGGATCTGCCAGCTCCTCCTGACCGTGCGGCGTTTCCAGGACAGACATCTGCACAGGCATCTCCAGAACCGCCTAAGGGAGCAGCGCTGACTCCCCTCACCAGCCTGATCATGTGCAAATTACATCATCTGCACTACCTTCATTTCCTAAGCATAATTGCCCTAAGTGATCCATTGATTGCTATCTGACACTCAGCTTTTCTGCTCTCATTTCCCAGATGTTCCTGGTTTTGTCATGACTCTCAACTCCATTTTATCAGAGATGTGACAACGCATATTGAAAGGACATGGTCGTATGCAAAGAAAGAATTCTATCAGATAAGTACAGTACAGAACCATAGTGTTTAAATAGCATTATCACAAATTTAATAGTTTGCAAATTAAACACAATACTGTTTATTCAGCTTTCATTGGAAAATTCATTTTATATACTGGATTTCTTTATTGCAAAGGCCATGAACTTTAGATAGCATGGTATCAAACAAAACCATGTCCTTTCTTTTTTTGAAGCACCTGATTTTTTGGGGGGGAGAAGAATAAGTATTGACTTAAATAGTGGGTTTTTTTTCTGCAAGTACGTCTTTGAACTGGAAATTTTTAGATAAAATTATATTTATAAAACCACTAACCATATCTTCTGCTTGTTTCACATAGTTCTAAGGGACAAAAAAGTGGGGCGGCAGTGGAAGAAAGCATATGGACAAAAGATCTTGTCTACTACTGTAAATGGGTTCTTCTCCCCTAAGGTACAAAGATAACCTTTGGCTTTCCAGAATATTTTAACCATAATGACAAACACCCCTCAAAAAAACAGAAGGAGTCATTAGGTATATTATAAAGAAAAATATTAACCAGTAAGAAGGAGAAAATATGGTAGAAGGAGGACTTTCTGGTTATTTTCCATATTAATGAGTCCATAGTGCACACTCGGAGGTATACTGAGCAGTTAAGTGACTTTGCTCCACACAGTAAGTTTTTGAAAAACCATTTGGCCTCCTCATTTGTTGCTAAACACTGGGTCCTGCTCAATCTTGCTCTTAGAATTATGAATTACTCAGAAAAAATCCATGCCTTTTAGCAATAAGATATTAAATATGAACATTGAGCTTACCTTCTGTCACTCCACTACTCATTTGCCTGTTACTGACAATGAAAGTGCTTCACTTCCAATAAAACGTCATTCCAGCTTTCATGTTTTTCTCTAAAAATAAAGCAGGTGAATCCTTGATCTGTCAAAGACAAATGTTATTTTGTTTTAGTCCGTCTGACCAGTCCATCAATTACAGTCATTCATCTGCTGTGGAAAAGTGAACAGAGCACCATGAATTTGCTAACATTGCATCTGCCATTACATTTTTCTTTGATAGTAAGTGAGGCATAATAAACCTTGATCTTTTCTTGTATGCTGCTTTTTGTTTGAAAAGTATGATTCACTGGATAATACATGCTGTTCCTCTCCAGAATCACTTTCTACAGTCAAAACAAATTTCTTCTTTGGATTCAACAAAAACCATAATTTATTGTTCTTAAAAAATAATAATATAATGGAGAAAACTCCATGTGAAAATTTTAGGCCTACGTTTTCAGTGCTGACTCCTGGTGAGTGACTCATCAGAGAAAGAGAACCTATTATCACCGTAAGAACTCAAGAAAATTCTTTCTGAATTCCAGTAAATATCTTTCTTTTCAATGGCTCATTCAAGATATATGAATGCAATGAAATTCTGTGTTCTTTGTGAGTGAAAATGTTTTCGTTTTCATTCGGCAAATAGTCTGTAACCCCTAATGACAGTAGAAGGATTATTTGTCTTTTGAGTGCTCTATGGAAGTCATTTGAACACCTATGTCACAACTTTTCAGCATAAAAGCTACACTGGTGATCATTTACACACACACAGTTGATCATTTAGGGGCTGGAAAAATATTCTTAGACCTTTCACTGCCAATGCAAAGGGATTTACTTAACAGTACAATTTCAGTAAGCCAAACAGAATGCACAACTGAGCTGCATGTTTCCTGTAACATACTCATGACTCACCTTCTCCTATTATGCTTCTTCCAGAAGAACAAAAAAGCAAGGACAGCACCATTCAATTCTTGTCTTTCACTCAAAGATAAACAGCTATGAACTGTATCACAGATTTCTTTCTTTTCAGATATTTATTTACATTGTATTTAGAAGCTTTCCCCTGCAATTTGGGTAAAGTTTTGCACTTTTGCACCTTTTCTTTTAAGAAAAAGAACACAAAAGACAGAGGAAAGGGCCCAAACTAACATAGATAGAAATAAGCCTATACATGGGTGTAATCCAATTCAAAGAACAAGTTTCAGCTTGTGCTTATTGCTGTGTCTCACCTGAAGTTAATGGATTCACAGACTCTTATGAACCCAACCCAGTATGTCATCTGTGCACAGATGAACTGACACTAATTAAATAAAATCACAACAGAAAATAGCAGTAATGCCCCTGTTAAATATCTTCTGCCTGGATATATTCAAGTCACTATGTAGATTACTTTGACTCCACTGCTATTCCCAAATGCTGAAATGCATGTGAAAAAGATTTTTAAATAACACAAGATAGGTTTCTCTCACCCCAAAACTGAGATTCCTTTAAAAAAAAAAGTGAATGGAAACATTGTTGTATGACAAAATATTAACTTTTGTTTATATATATTATTATTATACTTCCTGTGTTGTTTTCTTATCTTGACCAGTAGAAAATTAGAATCTATTATATAGAAACATAACTTAGTATAAGGACATAAAACAAGTAGGTACACGACAAGCTGAGTAATGCAATGTATAATTACTGTATATAATGAAAATGAATACATTTTATATGTTTCATGGAGGAAACACTTTTTCAACACTATACTAGTAATTTCTTGCCCTCCAAAAATTGTCTCTTCTAATGTATACACTCTCTAGAGGGAGACTCTAGCTGTATTTATAAGTACACAATGAAACACAATATTCTTAATTGATTTGAGTCAGGAAAAATATTTGGAACAGCTTAGCTTACACAGTAGGTACATTGTGGTTATTAAAACCCTGAAACATAATGAGAATTTAAACAGTAACAGAAGATCATACACACGAGCTTTGTTTGCTCAGTTAATACTAAAATTCTTTCATGGAATCACAGTAAGATACTTTAGTTTTCCTTTTATATATCAAAAACTGGTGAACTCTTTACCCCCTAATGTAACTTTGTATAGTCAGAGCAACAGCAAGAACAAGAGAGAAAATCATCTTTATAAGCTGAAGGCCCCATCTGCCTTATATTTCCAAATTACTGTGAATATTGTTATGTAGCTTTCATTTTATGGCAGCACCAAGGAAATCAAACTCTGAATCAGTATTCCCTTCCACAATGACAAGTACAAACAACAGAGAAGCAATCCTTGCTCCAAAGCCATTACATCTAATCAAATTATTAAAAGTAGTAATACTGATCATTATGGTCTGTCTGTAAGGCTGCATTTAAATTCATCAGCAGATGCCACATCAAGCAGTATGCAGTCATAAATTGTTACCTAATCTGCTCAAGGACACGAGACCAACACTTTTGATACACAGCTAAGGGACTGCGACTGCAATGAACAGTACTTGAGAAAAATTAATTCACAGAATGCCTTGGTTTGAGCCTGACTCCTGTGGAGTAAATGCAAAACATAAATATCCTCTTGCAGGATGACACAGCTAAGACAGTCTTTAATTTTAAGATATACAAACATGAACTACCTTAGGCTGCTACCAAGTTCCTAGAAAGGGCTGGATCTGTTTAGAATATTAATTGGAGCTTGTGCATTTGCTGTATTACATCAGGTCTGTGGACTTTTAGTTTAATAGTACCATTATCAGTAAATTTCACTAAAAAAAAAAAAAGAAACAAAGAGGTATCTATATCCATTTATATCCTTAAGGTAAGTGTTGCTACCTAAGTTTCACCATTATGTGCACTTTTTCTGAGTCACCTTAACTACATAGCCGAAGAGTGTGTGAACAAGGCAGACTCCATTATAATTATGTAGAATTGCACATTCCATCTTGCTTGTGCAGTTCTAAGGCTTTGACTCAGTTTCAAAATGTTGTTCAGGGTGGCTTTTTTTTTGTGTACAGATGTATAATTTCTCACCACCAATAAACAATGTTTCCTTAAACTACATGTTTCCTTTATTTTCTAGACCTTTCACATATAAAGGGACAGCCATTAGCCATCCTCACTTCAATAACTGCAAGGTACCTCTCATGGGTTAATACAACCCATCATCTAAGCTAGCAGAAATACTCTAAAACATCCAGCATCCATCAGTTTTGAAAATGCTAAAATTTATACAAATGGTTTGCTGTAAATTTAAAAGCTGAGAATCTTTTTTAAGCTTACGGGGAAATGTAGTCAAAAAACTGACTAAAGTTCATGCTTTAATTGACATCTGTACTTATGTTCTTACCAAGAACAGGTCAAATAATCATTTATTGGGATTAGACTGTGTTGAGTTCAGATAAAGAAAGCAGATCATGTAGCTCAAAATGCTAACCAGTAACAATTATTTCCAGAATCTGTTTCTGATGGAAGCAAGCACTGGTGTTTAAAGCCATGATTACTTTAGCTCTGAGTTACTTGTATCACAGTGTGTATTGTTCTGTTTCTGAGCAGCTCTGGGAAGCTGAGTGAGTAGGTCTATAAAACTACACTCCATGGATTTCATATGAGTCTAAATGTAAACAACAGAACTTACAGCTAATTGCCTTTAAGATAAAGCTGACTTAAGCAATTGAGATAACAGAATCCTACAATACTCTGGATGCAACATAGTAAAAATGTGAATTAATAAGTTAGCTGATATTGAGCTCCAGATGTTTCTTACTTTGGCAACGTTCCTTAAGTGATGATAAGCAGATTTACATACTTAACTAATATGCTTATTTAAAGAAAATTTCCAGATCCAGACTAGCATCCAGATTTTTTACTTGGCTTCAGATCAAAATACATACTATCGAGAAGGATGGCATCCAGGAAAACCTTTTCAACATCTGCTTAGAACTAAACAACAGATATTTGATTTTCTGCAAATTTAATTTCAGGCAAAATTTTACTTCATCCAATAATTTTTATATCCTCAAGACAGCCTGACCCAGTCATTTTACATATTCAAATCTCAGAATGCAGCTCATACACTGGAAAGACAGCAGTTGCTACAAAGAAACTCAATTAGTTGTAGTTCACATTTAAGATTGCTATGAGCAATTACATTTAGAGTGAGACAAGGGCTTTTTTGGAAGCAAAGCCCTTCCCTCACCAATAATATCAGTGAACTAAAGAAGCAGGTTCAAAAACATTTCATATCTTACTTATAATCTAAAAAAATTTAAGTTCTAGCATGAAAACATAAGCTCTACTGTTTCAAAAGGCTGAGGAATAGAAAATAATATTATTGAGTCACAGGTGGTGTTCTTTGAAATTCTTATGAGATGTGCTTATTGTCACACTTAAGGCATGGTAAGAAAGGAACAAATCCAAGCAAAAACTTAAAAGAAAATACTTGGAGGAATGCATACTATTCCAAATTTCTTCCCAGATTACAGAAAGTAAAACACAAATATACTGGGAAGGAGAGTGCATATTCCATAGCAGAATAAAAAGAACCAGCCAAGAAATACAAAATATGGATTTAATTTTCAAAATAAATTATTTTAGAAGAAAAATAAAATGAAAAAAAATAAAGTTTCCAAATAAGCTGAGCACTGGCATAAACTTCTACTGAAAGCCAAGATAATGATTATATAAACACAAAAGAGGTACATGTTAAACAATGCATTGTGCCAGTAGATGTGCAGACTACTTGAGGAATGACACCAAGGATTAGGAGTGTTGAGAGTAAAAATCAACCAGTTTTTCTAGTGGTTCCTTGGTGTACATGAGAGAACAGACCTACCAAGGGCTTGGCACAGAAGGAAGCCCTCTGGATATGGCTCACCACATTACATGATTGTCTCTAGTACCTCACACCCACAGCTCTCAGCCTGCTTTGCAAAGCATGTAAGTGCAGGAAAACTGCTAATCTGGATCACCCTGCAGGGCCATGGCACATTCAGAAACACAACAAGAACCTGCTGCACATATTGATCTTACTTTAATGAGAAAATATACTTCTACACTTCATTTGCTGTGGGGAAAAAAAGACAAAAAATGTGACAGGACTATTCCCTATACTGTACTCATGAAAA